CACTCCCACCTGGTCACATGGCCAGCAAGCCACTCCCACAAAGCAGGCCACACCTACAGAAGAGGTTCTAAAAAATTTTGAAACCCACCACTGCTTCAAATGGAATTCCTTCAAGATGGTAAGGCTTTTCAGCCGTCGTTTGAGTTATGCTTTATCAGGAAGCCTAGGTCAGAATAAGTTGTCCTTTGGACAACCATGACCTGGTTGCCCAAGAATCTCCGTAGACAACAATTGTTATACTTCTACACAGATTCCCCCCTCCTCCAATACATTTCGATTTTGAGAAACAACTAACTTACCATCCGTTCGAAGTGTTAATGGAGTTGGAGGACTAAGGACCCTGGCATTTGTCACTGTGTTCTTCACCAGGCAGATATAACTCCCAACATCTGATGGCTGCACCTTGGATATATAGAGGTTGCCTGTTTCCTGGGAGATGAAACGCCTGCTGTCTTCTGCCACAAAGGAGGGGAACGCATTAAATACCCAGCTGTAGATGATCTCTGCAAAATAAAGAGGCGGATACTTTGAATCTCTTTGAGGTAAGACCACTGAACTCAAGAGAGCAAATTACATATGTTTGAAAAAGGGAATTGCTGGAAATGTGACCAAATACTGGGCACTTACCACCACATGTGGTGGAGATGTAGAAAGACAAAAGGCTACTGGCAAAAGAGTCAAATGTGGTTGGAAGAAATGACCGGACAGAAATTGGAATTTAAACCAGAACTATTCTTGTTAGGAATTATAAAAGAAGGTCAAAGTAAAGGGTTAACATATTTAACGTTACATATCATAACAGCAGCGAGAATAGTTTATGTCCAGCAATGGAAGTGTGAGAACATACCTCTAGAAAAGGAAATAATAAAGAAAATATTAGATGGTGCAGAATGTGATAGACTAACGCTGGAATTAAAAAACAAAGGACAGAATACTGTCATAGAATACTATGAGATTTGGAATAGATTTTACCAATGATTGGATTTGAGGAATAGAAGTCGGAACACAAAAGAACAAGGATGTATGGATCGGAAGAAGATGTAATATACAGTATGTATTATATTATGTAAATGTAATGTTGATAAGGGGTTAAATATGTGTATATAATTAGTAATGTATGCGGAATACATAAGATATTTGTCTTACACTTTAGTTTTGTATGGTGGAGATAACACCAGGACGGTTGTACCATGTCCAACTTTTTTTTTTAATAATAAAGAATTTGTTTTTAAAAAAGGGAATATATCTAACTTCATTACTTTTCTCCATGGACCAAGGCAGATATTCAGTGATTATGGGGCAGCTTTTTTTTTACAAAGACAATTGTTTATCATTATTATTTTTAATGAATTTGGAAAACATGCATGCTTAGCTGTTCTGACCCCCCTCGTCCTGCACCAAAGCACGCCGAGACAAAGATACTTCAAGGATTTATTAACACACAGACAGTTCCTTGGCAGCAATCCAGCACAGACCAGGCCTTGGCAGCAATCCAGCACAGACCAGGCCTTGACAGCAATCTAGCACAAACTAACCTTGGCAGGAATCCAGCTGCCAAGCTAGCCACGAGAGTTCTCCAACTGTAATGAATACATTGACTCCTGCAAAAGGGTGTGTGCACACTCATTCCTTTTATAGTCTTGAGAGGAGCCTAATTACCACCAGCTGAGTGCAATTATCTCCTGTAACTGCGTAACTGCTCCTTGCGCCTATTAGCTCTTTGGTGCCGGACATCCAGGAACAATTCCCTTGGCTCCTCCCCACTGCTCCAATTCATGATGTCGGGATCACACTCCCTTGTTTCCTCCCCACTGGTCCAAGGCTCAGGCACCTCCTGATGGCCAACCAGCCTCTCTGTGCCCTGCTCGGAGTCGGAACCCTGTCCAGGGTCCTCCACCTCCTTCAGAGCCATCTCATAGGGCCCCTCGCTGTTGGAGTCTGGTGGCAGCTCCAACGACTCCTGCTGGGCCACAACACTTAGCTATGGGTAAATATTTTCAGCACATGTAGATATAAAGGATTTTCATGCCAAATAAGATCTCCAATTGATTCCAATGTTCTACAATCTGACTAACTCCTAGTGCGAGGAATTAAAACTCAACGATTTAAGATTAGTTGTGGATAAATTTATTACTCATCACTGAGCTATGCTGAATAGGAAGCAATAAAATATGCCAAATACGTAAGAGGGAATTAGTATTAACATTGCATGGACTTTTGCTGAACAGCGCTTGGAAATATATTATACCGTACGTTAAATGCCATACGAAACCACCGTATTTAATTTTAGTTCCCGGAGATGACAGAAAAGCAAACTGCATCTCATATTTCCAGACCTTAAAGAAGGACTAAGCAATTTGCAGTTCTCTGCCCCTCTTGAGATTATGTTATCAAGCTTGAGGGGTGCAATTTTTCTCATCCTTATTTATTCAGAAATAAATTATGGTTAGGGTTAGGGTATAGAGTATAGGGTATAGGGTATAGGGTATAGGGTATAGGGTATAGGGTATAGGGAATAGGGTATAGGGTATAGGGTATAGGGTATAGGGTATAGGGTTTAGGGTTTAGGATTTAGGGTTAGGGTTAGGAGTTGTGGTTAGGGATTGGGGTTGGGGTTTAGGTTTTAGGTTTCCCATCTTTATTTATTCAGAACAATTAAGGCTAGGAATAAAAATGTGAGACCTCTAAGAGGCAATTCCTTTATTCTTACCACCACCACTCCCTACCACACCTAATATTGTTCTAAAATAATATTTTGTAAATTCAGTCATTTTGCCATGAAAAACTGGCAGTGGAAGCATAGTGAGTCATGGTTAAAGATAGGTATGGAAGAAGTTTACCTCTTCATTTATAACTTTGTAAACCCCTCCCAAAAATTAGGCGCGAACGGCCTCAGAATTTTTTTCTCCCATCACTGGAGCTACCTGCAACCCATCAGAAATCAAGAGGCCGAACTAATAATATACCTTTTACTTTCAACACTCAAAAAAATGGGAATAAAGCAGGTTGCCATGCACAATTACTCTTCATCTTGATGATAATGGTTCATTTGGTTAATTCAGCCTTCTGACTGTGCACAATAATCAGAGGTGGTATTCAGCCGGTTCGGACCGGTTCACCCGAACTGGTAGCAGAAATTGCAAGTGGGCTCGCCCACCTGCCCCATCTCAATGCCATCCTATTGAGGCATGCTTTTGAGGCCGGGCATATGCACAAAGCAAGCAGGTATGTGTGTGTGTGTGTGGTGAACTGGTGGTAACAAAATGTGAACCCACCGCTCACACCACTAAGTTTGCTCAATGTACTGGGCCAAAATAGGTTGGCTAGCGATCAGAGAGTCATATGAACAAAGACATAATTCATAAAAGCAGGGGAACGTAATGCTGTTCTTTGGAATAAGTAGCCTAAACAGTATTTCCCAACCTCAGCAAGTTTAAGATGGCAGACTTCAACTCCCAGAATTCCCCAGCCTTGCTGTGGTTGAGAAATACTGGAAAAGATGTCTAAAAAACTCCTCTCTATCCATAGGCCGCCATAACACGTCTCAGTAATAGCAAGATGGGGACAAACACCTCATACAATCATACAAATATTGTAACTAATATTTATGTAGTGAGTAGTAGCTTGTGTAGTAAGATGATCAAAAGCTTTTGCAGATCCATGGGGTATGATCCTCTCTCTTTCTCTTTGTGTACAGTGTGTGTGTGTGTGTGTGTGTCAGTGTGTTTATCAGCACAGTAAAGCAACTTTTAATTTTAACTTTATTTTCTGACAAACACCAAGCTGAGATTTATTTACGGTTAGATAAAATAAATTCCTCCCAAGCAAGTTTCCATCTCTCTCAATTCTACTTAAACTAGAAGTTTGACTCTGGCTAAGCAATTTCGTCCAATTACCTATTGTATATGTATGCAACTTGGAGAGTTGAGTAAATATAAAGGAGAGCTATTGATTGATTAATTATGTGCCATCAAATCCTTGTTGTCTCTCAGCGATCGCACAGATAGATCTGCGTCTCATTGTACTGGCTAGGTGACCTTCTGCCTCTGGCATTTTCTTCCCACATCTTATTTCTTTCTCTTTCTTTAACATTCCCCTCAAAGTCATCTGGGAGTGCTAGAAATGTTCTTTGTCTTCCTCTCCAATTTCTCTCCCCCCCCCATTTTTCTTTGTAAATATTACTCGTGGTCTTCCCCAGCTTTTTCCTCATATCTATAAATTCAAGCATCTAACACTGCTTAACATCTATTTTTACTTGACAGGCATTAATTTCTCTTGTTCTATCTCCCAGAAGACTTTATCAGAATAACAGAGATGGAAGGGACCTTGGAGGTCTTCTAGTCCAATCTCTGATTAGGCAGCAGATCTATACCATTTCAGACAGATGGCTGTCCAATGTCTTCTTAAAATCCTCCAGTGTTGGAGTACCCACAGCACTGGTGGCAAGCTGTTCCACTGATTTCTAATTGTCAGGAAATTTCTCCATGGTTCTAGGTTGTGTTCTGACTTAGGCTTCACAAAAATCACGAAGCAGACTCCTTGTCCCAACAAAACCCCTTTTTATTAAGCTAATGTGAATTCCTCTCATTCACATCCAGTAAAGTCCCTGCAAACAGTCTTTCAAGACTTTACAGAATTTACAACTACAGATCTTATCAGGCTTGGAGAGCTGCCAGGCCAATATCTTCCAACTTTTCACCTTTACCTTTACCAGAAAATACCTGGCAAGGAGTCTCTAAGAGTCATGAACAAATCCTCACACTAATTAAGCAAACTAATGGTCTCCTGCAAACTCTCCTCCCCTTTCGCTCCTCTTTATTCCCTATGGGAGGGGCCATTCTCCGTCCACCTGTGGCTTTACTCCCAAGTCAGCCCTTGTTCCTTAGATGTTCCCTTCTCCTGGCAGCTCTGTCCATGCACATTGGGAACAGGCTCCAGCTGTTCTTCTGCCCCAACTCCAAACGCAGCTAATAACTGGCGGCCCTGGTCCCACGCTGGAGGACCACAACAGGTTGGTTCTCTCCTTGATTACTTTCCATCCATTGCTTCTTGTACTGCCTTCAGGTTCTATAGAGAATAGGTAGAGTGCCTCTTCTTTGTGGCAGCCCTTAGATATTGGTACACTGCTATCATGTCTCCCCAAGTCCCTTGCCTTCATTAAACTAAATATTCCCAATTCCTGCACTTTCTCCTCCTCCTTCTCACAGGGGAAGAAATGAGAACCTGTGCATCCTTTCTCTCCCCTACATTTAGGGTGATATGAGCTAAAAAGATCATGTATGGCTAAATGTATACATTCCAGGATGCTAGAGATCTGTAGCTGATTGCAGGCTCACAGATATTATTAAGGAGATGATTAAATGATGTCATTGTAAATGTAAAGAAGGAACTTTTTATCATTCATAGATAAAGCAAAGAAATATTGGAGTAGAATTCATATCTTAATGCAGAAGATTCTTAAAGTGAACGTAAAGATAAAACCAAAGATTTTTCTTTCAGGTCT